ACTCAGTCAGCAGAACGCCAACAACTACGAGGTAGTTAAGGCAGAGATGTTCCGGATATTCGGAAGTTCTGTCTGGAGAAAAGAAGAGCAGCTCAGACAAGAGTCTGAAAGAAAGCGCAAAACAGAAAGACAACAGTCTGAAAGCGAGGGGCGTCGGAAAGCGCTGGACGTTAAAGTGTGTCAGGAAGCGCTAGAACCAGAGATCGCGCCAGAAAAGGGCCCGCGTATTCTAGAATGCATCAAGGTAGAGTATGCTGAGAATGAGGCCTTGGCCGGTCTGTAGGTAGAGACGATGTCGAAAGACGCTCCTTGCGTGGATGAGGAGAGTGCCAGCAGCCCTAATGGGCCCAGTAAGATGCTGGAAACCTCCTTCGTGCCTCAAGAGTACGTTTCGACATCGTCAAATGTAGATATGAGTAGCACAGTGGCGAATCAGAGCGAGGACGCGACGCTTCAGGAATGCAGCGATGCCATCGGAGAGGGCCCAGTTAATGGCTTCATCAGTGTTACAAAGCTAATTTGGCCCGACAGTCCGTCGTGACGCAGAGTTCAAAAAGCGTTATCGGGAGGGAAGACCAAGCACCAGCTCCAACGAGCTTCCCAACTTCTGAGTTCCCGACGCGATGATGATGGCATCGAGAGAAAGGGGGCAAGCAAACATCGCCGAAAACGAAAGAAGCGGAAACACACCGCACTGCGTAGGCCTAAGGCAGGTCCCACTCCGTCTCGAGAAAGACGAAAGGCTAGGCCGTTAATCCGTTTCAGGAAACATCAATGGTGGCGTTCATGGAGGCACAAGCGGCCAGCCAGGTGTAGAGGGGGAAAACGAGGTGCGTCACCCCAACGAAACACGCAGTTCATTTCTAGGACTTCGGGAAAGCGGCCATGCCCGAAGGGTTAAAATTGAAAAGGCACAGTGGCTAATTACTGCGTGGGGGCAACCACAAAGACATTATTACCCAGGCTTCCCCCCTGCTTCTGGCGTCCCTTTCCAATTCCTGAGAGGAACAGGCCGAAATGGAAAATGAGGTGTGACGGCAGTGCACTGCTCAGAGTTTGTGCATTTTGTAGCCTCTGGCGCGCTCGAAAACCGCCGGGACCGCGTCCCCATCGTGTGCGATTAAAAGAACCATGAGAAAAGGGGGCGGTCAGTATGAGTAACTTTTGCACAGGCGTGTTAAATATTGTTACTCATTGTTGCATTGGAGATGCAAATTTGAGTCATTTTATTTTGTAAGTTACATGATGCGGAGTAAATTTTTGAAAAGGAAAACCGCCGAGCTAAATGCTGGAAATGGAAGTCCGTTATTGATTTGTACGGATATATCGAGAAGGTAAAAACAAAAAAAAATTGTTATACTTTTTTTAGTGTTTCAAAGGTTTAGTGTAATATCGTATGCCTTTACTGTCATGTGGATGTGGCGTGAATTGGCATTTATGGAAGGAGATATTAACATAAACCGAATGATTTCGTAAAATAATTAGGTTTGGCGCGACACAGTGGAGTTGTCGTTGCGCGCATTGAGAATTGAGGGTCATTGGTGCACGGTTTTAGCATAAAACCTATGCAATTGCTTTTTGGGTGTTTTTACCTAGAATTATTTTTGTGTTGTACACGGTGTATTGCAACGTAACGTAAAGATAATTAATTAGAACAACTGTAAAGGCTTAAGCGTTTGGTTATTAGTGCCGTGCATTTTGCAGCACTACAGGAATTAGAATAATTGAAAAACGCTCAGAAGAACTCAGTGTTTTTTCAATCAAAGGCGTTAGCAAAGGCAGGTAACTAACTGAACAAACCTGCTAAAAGGCGGTGTTTGTTCCTGCTAGAAGACAGTGTTTGTTAGATTTTTTGTCCTTGTCTTCTTTGAAGAATGATTGATCTAGTGATCATGAGCAGATCACCAAGCTTTCCCTAAGCGTTGAGGTAGACCATTAGGTTTCAGTGTAGCTTAAGGTTTTGGGAAGCTGGTGAGCTTAATGTCTTAATAGTAGGCGATTATTGGTGCCCGTAAACAAAAACGGAGGTTAGGACAATTGTAGCGCTCACTAAATCCGAGTTTGTTCCGCGTTCGCGTACTTGACCAATGCTCTCCACGGGACAGAACCGATGAAAGTAGTCAGCGATGAAAAGAAGGAGCCTGCTGTTTTATATCAGGACGACAGTGGTATCAAGCAAAGCTGCACTTTACTTGCGCCAGAATTTGGGCTCTCGCGAGATAACGTACTGCGCTTCAGGAAAGGAGTGCGCTTGCATTGTGTAGCCCATTCAGCAGTTGCAGTGTTATCTCAGAGGTGCTAAATTTAAAGTAGGGACAGACCGTTTTCCCCTTACTTGGCTGCAAACCGTGACATCAAAGAAAAGTCACCTTGTGAGACAAAGCTTGATTCTTCGAAAATATCATTTTGGCATTAGGAAAAGGGCAAATTGAATGGAAACGCTGACGTGCTTTGTTGCTCTTTCTAATATATCTAGGGGTGCTCTTGAATGTATCGAAATTGATATTTTAGTTTTTTTTTCGTGCAACTTATGTGAAATTTGTAAGGTAGCACGTCTGCTTTCTCAGCTCAAGTGAGTCCTGAGAGTTCTGAGTGTGAGCTTTTTGTTAAAAGCTAGTAAAGAAAATTGGTTTGCCATCCCTCTTTTGGCTTGGTTTGTTCGAAAAGGGCCGAGTGCTTGCTTGTGCATGTGGTCGAGTTTCAGAAACGGTGTTGAAGATTCGGCAATAACCCAGACCATGCCACATGCGAAGGCCACTGCCTGGCATTCACCTACGTACCCTTTCGTCGTCTCTGCGAGCAGCAGCAGTGACTGCTGCCCTCCGTGACTCATCTGGCGAGGGGGAAGCTGTTATGACCGTCTTCAGTAGGTGCCATGCTGTCGCTGAGAAGCGTGGCCGGGCAGCGTTCCCACGCCTGGAACCCAGTTTTCTCGGAACCAGCTTTCAGAGATGACGGGGGGAGCGGCGCTCTTTTAATCCTCAAACAAGTAGCCGACTGGCCAGCTGCCTATGCCCACCAGGTATTGTCCCTGCTAGCCGGAGGATGAGACGTGTCGCCAAGACACCGTAAGCCGTTCCAGAGAGGACAACAAAGACAGCGTCTTCCTTGGAAGAACTCTGACGCCACCTTGCAGTGCAGTGATCACGACTCAATATTGGTCACGTGGGCCGTGCATGCTCGTACCCCTCGCCTGTTGTGTGTGTGTGATTGGTGTTCCACTCAAGAAGGAGGAGCCCGACAGGGCTTATAACGACGCCGCAGAGTGATGGACGAGGCTCTGGACCATGTAACGGTTCAACCACCACGTTCGTGGTTTGTGAACTCCTAACCTCATGCTGTAAATAATTGTAAATAGTGCTATAAACCTGTTTGTTTTTCGTATCCCCATCTTGTGAGCGTTCGTTTCCTCAACCCGAAGCTACACCACGATACCACAAAAGACCGGGTAGACCCCGGTTGGCAACTACTTGTGATCAGCGCTGGGATTTGGAGCGACTACAGGTGAACGGCACCGAGATCCACAACAACTGGTTGGCAGCGGTGGGATACGACTCAGCACCGTGATCCACGACAGTACACAGGGCCATACAGAGTGCTTCGTGTAGTGATTACCGTCACTTATGAAATTGCTCGTGCTGCCTTGTCTTTTTCATCCACCCCTCGGGCCAGCGACATCGTACACGTCACACGCCTGAACCAGTACCACTCGCCCCATGACATTGACGTCTAGATGCGCCTGGACGGCGCCTTTCCGACGGGGATTCTGCTACATGTAGGCTGCCGCAATGCATATTGTCAATGCGCGTGTGCGCTGGGAGCCAGACTGGCCAGCGCTGCAACTTCTTTCAAATATATTTCTTTCAAATATTCTTTCAAATATATTTTGTAAATATATTTGCAATATATTGACTCGATACTCACATAACAATATAACCCTAACAGTCTAAAAATGAAAAGTAAGTGTCTCAGGCCTTCAAGGAAAAAGCCTTTGCTAGTAAACCAATGTTTTAAATGAAGCACATGCATGGTAAACCATGATGCTTCTCAACTGGTTTAGAGAGCTTTGTGCTGCTGGCATACATAATAGCGAAGCAGTTGGCAATTCACAATTTCTTTAGAACATCTTATCAGCAGTAGATGGCCAATAAACTTGTGGACCTTACACATCTGTTTTATGTTCATTGCATGCAGTTAGGGTTTAAAAATGTTGAAAAAGTTTTTAAATGTGATAAAATTAATGCATAATCATACCAAATTTTTATTTTCCTTAAAGACACCTCGAGGCAGTATTATATAAGGGGTGGGTTAACATATAAAAAGTTTTTTATTTATTGCCACAAGTTTTGAACTTGAAAAATGGACTTATAATTGATCTAAGAATGATGCTGGGCATTCAGTGGTGACGACATCATTGGGAACGTCATTCTAGTCTTTTGCCATTCATGAAAAGAAGGACATAGAAAAGGTGGTCGTTTTAATCTGTGGCAAGGCAGCTTGAAGTCAATGGCAAGTGCAACGAGATATGCAGGACGGTGTAACGATGTAGGGATGACGAAGCGTGCTGTGAAAGAACTTATGAAAAAGGTGAGACTAGAGATGTGGCGGCGGATGTCAAAGCTTGTAATAGTTTTTTTTTTTTTGATGATAATGTGTGGTGTCACCTTCCCAGATTCATATATCTGGGAATTTTCGATAATTCAAACTTCTTGATAATTCAAATGGTATTTAGAGGTTCTTTCGTGTTCGAATTAACGAGAGTCGACTGTATGTTAACCAATAGAGCAGACTTCATTCAGTTTTCATTGGCTAAAATGAGTGCTTTGTTTTCGTTGTCATTGAGGTCAGCTTGTCACACAGGAGTTACATTAAGCAGCATCTTTAGATTTGAGCATTCTGTTTATTCTGGGTTGTCTTTCAGAGAACTGTAACTGAAATTCAATCAAATCACCAAGAATGACTCAAAGATTAGAGCTTTATGGAACACGCTATGCATGCAGGGTCCACTGGAAGGCAGCTCACAGTTGTTCCTACTACAGTGGAACCCGGACACGGACAAGCCAGAAGTCCGCAGCTGGGACGAGCTGTATGGCATCCTCTCACCTGACCTCCTAGCTGTCGAGGTAAGCTTGTTACGTATTGCACGACTCAGTGTAATGTTACCCAGCGGATCTTAGTCTGAAAGCTAGTGGAGAGACATTGCTGTGATTGGCCTGCACATTGCATATCCTATGTGCAAATAAAAGCCTGCCAACAATCGTGGATCAAGCTGAGAGCCAGAGGAAGGACCATGGGAGAAAAGGAGTAGGATCAGCTGGGCATGCAGGATGGCTTTTCACGTGCTATGTTCTCAGCGCTGTCTGTGGTTCCTTGTGCAGTGTTTTCTGGAATTACGTCAGATTGGCCTTACTTCATATTGTCATGCCCGTTTCTTATTTTACTTATGCTGTATTCAGTTTACAACTACCAAGACTGGCAGCACTACTTGCTCCGAACTGTACCTTCATTGTTCGAGGCAGTTCATGATTGTATTTGATCGTTTTGTTAAGATTGCACACCAGGCGCAAACACTTGAGCTTATTCCAGAGCATCGCAATAACTAATGATAAGGCTGAAAAATACGATAGTGCATGTATAAAGGCCCACACGCTTCATTGCTAGTCAGTTGATTCATGGACTCTGTTAGCCGCTAATAATGCTAGAGTGTATTGCTGTAATCTGGCTTCTTCGTTTACCAGCCACAATTCAACCAAAGCAGCTGTTTCATCTTAGACATACCAACTCCTGCCTTTATCAGCAACACAACCATGTGACATTTGGTGGAGGTGCTGGTTTTTTTATGTTCCCGACACCAATGAAAAGCAGGGAGTCAAACCCACAACGTGAAGAAGACACAAAAGCCCTCCAGGAACAACATGCTAATTAAAGCTTTGAAGGTCTTCAACCAGAGTTCAGATCCTTACTAGACAATACAAGAGGTATGACATCGAAGCAAGCCACCACGATGACAACACTTGCGCAGCCTACATCATTCCTGCTTCAGCAGCCCAAGGAGCCGCTGAAATTTGGGGGGTCATTGTGCGAGGACAGGAGAACTGGCTGGAAGCATATGACTGGGTTGCCGTCGTTGACCATTGCAACAATGAAGACAAGCTCACGCACGTGGACTTTACTATAGAAGATGTCGCTAGAACATGGTTCGACAAGCAAGAGTCTACCCTAACATTATGGGACATTTTCAAAACCAGGCTCTTGGCTATCTTTACTAGCATAATCTGCAAAGAGAGGGTCGAAACTGCTTCACACCCTCCTATAGCTACCCAACCACAGTGTCATGCTCATCATGGAAGAAATGACTAGACTCTTGTGCCACACTGACCTCAAAACGCCTGAAAACAAGAAAGTTTGCCTCCGCATGTGAGGAGTTAAACAGGAGCTTTTCACAGCACGTGAAACCCACCGAACGGTGTAAAAGATTGAGTTTCTATCTCTGCTCTAATTGAGCCCCCCATCTCTGCTACATCTATCATCTCCATGTTAGTGTAAAGTTCCGTGCGCTATGGGCGTGTGTGAGGCATTGACGAGGCTGACATGTTCACGGGTGAAAAAGGGCCTTGAGTCCTATAAAATATCATCATCAAACGCCGTAAGAAGAAGAAAGAAGACTGCTGCCTGGAGCGAGCGCGTGCTACTTGGCTTCTTCTAATAAACTGTATTCGTTCGAAGCAGTCCGTGGTCTCGATCGTCTTAATAATGGTGCCGTGAACCAGGATACTACCTCCTCACCGGCAAGAAAGGTCAACCTGCCACGGAGCAGCAGAGAAGAAAACGGCGGAAGAGCAGAGGATCGACCTGGATCGATCGACGAGACCACGGTGGACAGTGCGAGCATCAGAACGAACGATTGACAAGTAAGGAGTCATTGTTAACCGCCTCAATATGAGCAAGGAAGTGATAACGAAGAAAAGGAAAGCGCTTCGCTCCCAGATCACGCGACTGATTAACGCAGCCGAGTAGCAAATTAATGATGGAGCTAACCGGGAGCAGCTGCTTACAACGCAGGCGCAGATTAAAGGAATAAGCGACAGTCTCAAGAGCGTGAACGAGCAAATGGAAAAGTTTCTGACCGAAGACAATGCCGAAGCTGAATTCGAAAGGGTCATAGAGTACGACATGAAATTAACAATGACCTTATCTGCATTAGAATTCAGACTTCGACAGCCTGCACAATCGGATTCAAGCGATAGGACAAGGCAGGTGACGCCCTCAAGTACAGGACAAGAAGCAACGGAACTAGTTAAGCTTCCAAAGCTTGAAATGATAAAGTTTGGGGGAAAAGCTTTGGAGTGGAATCGCTTTTGGTCTCAGTACGAGTCGGCAGTTCACCTGAGATCGAACATGAGCAAGAGACAGAAGTTCAATTACTTGTTAGCATCACTAACCGGAAAAGCGGCAGCTGCTATTGAAGGACTTCAGTACTCGGCAGAAGAAAATTATGATGACGCAATCAAAATACTGAAAAAAACGTTCGGCAATCGAGAAGATTCCATTGAAATGCACATGAATGAGCTATTGAGTTTGGAAAAAGTGAGGTCTGTTCAAGATACCGATAACTTAAATAGGCTAGTAAAGAGAGTGCAAGTTAACATATTGGCACTCAAGTCCCTAAAAGTGGAAACCGAGAGCTATGCGCCGATTTTGTTACCGGTATTGAAAAGAGCAATTCCACCAGAATTATCAGTGCAGTTCAAGTCAAAAGAGGCTATGAGAAACAACTCAGCTTCAGAAAATGGCGAGCAAAACAACACAACAGGAAAAGCGTGCGAGGAAAAGCTGGACAGGCTTATGTTATTCTTAAATGAGCAAGCGGCTTTTCGTGAAGAAACACAATGTGAACAAGAGAGGATAACTTCACACCAAGAGAGAATGGCCGACAGATACGCACAACTTTAGGATTCTATAGCTCAGCGCACAGAATATGCTTATTCTTCAAGCAGAAAACCCACGCAACCGTAAACTGTTGTTTGAGCATTCCAACGAATGAAAAGAAAGCTATGCTTACCGAAAATAGAGCATGCATCAGATGCACCAAACCACACTGCAAGCATTTGCAAAGCCTAAGTAAAATGCAAGCAATGCAAGGCACGACATGTCACGTCAGTGTGTAGAACTGTGATACAGAAAACAAGGGCAGAGCTGGTCTCAACAGTGCAAGCCGAAGCAACGTCTACGCTACACACAACCGAAAATATTGTGACGGAGCGAGGTCTTGGCTTACAGGACAGCGTCCACCGAGAGTCAGCAGCCGAACAAGATGTCTAAGTTGCCTCTCGTGCAAGCGCCTAACGCACAGGCGTCTTCTTCAGCTTCGCTAAGTGCCACGCTTGCTCCTGTCGATGATGCACCGTAACACCACTCCCCTGCGGCGGAAGCGCCGTCACGGCGCTTAGTACGGCGGCGACGAACGAGGAGGGTGATACGGTTTCAGTCTGGAAACGTGTACAACGTCTGTCTGGAGTGAGGTGGTCGAAAAGGCATTGTTTAGGGGTGCGATCTCGTAGCTCACGTCACTAAGTTGTCGTAACACTTTGTAGGGGCCATGGTAGTGTGATAGTAGCTTCTCTGATAAGCCGACTTGGCGGTTTGGTGTCCAGAGAAGTACCAGAGACCCCGGCGAGAAGTGCACGCTTTGGTGGCGACTGTAATAGCGGTCTTTTTGCTGCGCTTGCGACAAGTGCAGCCGATCACGGGCAAGCTGACGGGCTGCATGGGCTCGAGAAACGACATCGCTGGCGTACTCAGTAGACAAGGGGGCAGCCGAAGGAAGGATGTCAAATGGTAATGCTGGATGTCGGCCAAATAGCAAATAAAACGGCGAATAACTAGCTGTGTCGTGCCGTGAAGAATTGTACGCGGATGTGACAAAGGGGAGTGCTTTGTCCCAGTCACGGTGATCTGGCGAAACGTACATTGACAGCATCTGCGTCAGCGTTCAGTTCAGACGCTCGGTCAATCCATTTGTCTGTGGATGATAAGCGGTGGTAAGCTTGTGCTCAGTGGAGCAGGCGCGGAGAATATCATCCACAACACGTGAAAGAAAGTACCTTCCTCGATCAGTAAGCAGCTGCCGCGGAGCGCCGTGATGAAGAATGACTTCATACAAGAGAAAGTCAGCGATGTCAGTGGAACAGCTTGTCGGCAGTGCTTTAGTGATGGCAAAGCGTGTGGCGTAGTCTGTGGCGACTGCAATCCATTTATTTCCGGAGGTGGACGTAGGAAACGGGCCCAACAGGTCAAGGCCAACACGGAAGAATGGTTCCATTGGTATGTCAATGGGCTGTAGGAGGCCAGACGGTAGCACAGAGGGGCGCTTGCGGCGTTGGTAGAGGTCGCAAGCAGTGACGTAGCGAACCACAGAACGATACAGTCCGGGCCAGAAAAAGCGACGTCGCACACGATCGTAGGTACCAGAGACGCCTAGGTGACCGGCTGTAGGTACGTCATGTAGTTGTTCGAGAACGCTGGTACGCAGGTGATGGGGAAGCACGAGTAGTAATTCCGGGCCATCAGCATTGAAGCTGCGACGGTACAGAATGTTGTCGTGCAGTTCGAACAGGCGAACGGAAGGGTCTGTCGGAGCAGAGGTCAGACGCTCGATAATGGAGAGTAACGACGGGTCACGTCGTTGTTCGGTGGAGATATCACCCAAAGCGTGGATGGAGAGAACGCAGGGGTCTGAATCAAGGTCTGTCAAGTCGGGCGTTTCAAGCGGATAACGTGACAAACAGTCTGCGTCTGTGTGGAGGCGTCCCGACTTGTAGTTGACCACGAATGAGTATTCTTGCAGACGGAGCGCCCAGCGACCAAGACGTCCAGATGGGTCCTTTAGCGATGACAGCCAGCAAAGAGCGTGATGGTCCGTAACAACGGAAAAAGTTCGGCCATACAGGTAAGGCCTGAATTTCGCCACGGCCCACACTAAAGCTAGGCATTCACGCTCAGTGATGGAGAACTTCCGTTCGGCAGGTGGAAGAAGACGACTGGCGTAAGCAATCACGCGGTCCTTCCCGTGCTGTCGTTGGCCAAGGACCGCTCCAATTCCATGGCCACTGGCATCGGTCCG